TGATATATACTTTATTGTAAGGATCTGGAACCAAACCTGCAATATCACTGAAGTGATATGAATCATGATATGTAGTCTTCACTGAATGAAGACTACATTAGCCATGGACATTTGGAAATAATTAAAAGTTAAAAATAAATACCCCTTATCATCACATGGAATCACATGAAGTATTTTAGCATCAATTTAACAAAATATGTCCAAGACCTGAACATGGAAAAATATTTCTGAAAAAAATTAAAGAAGATCTAAATAAATACATGTTCATGGGTAGGAAAATTCAAGATCATTAAGCTAACAATTTTCTCTAAAATAATCTACAGATTCAATGCAATTTTAAGCAAAATATGAACAGGACTTTTTAATAATAATTGACTAGTTTATTCTAAAATGTATGTAGAAATGTAAAGTCCTGGTAGAGTGAAAAGCTTCTTTTTTTTTTTTAAAGGAGACAAATTTAGAGGATGATGTGACTTTATAAGATATCATAAAGCCCCAATAATCAGTGCTATATGATTCAAGACTGACATATAGAGTTAAAAAAAAAAAAGTCTGGAAATAGACCTGTGTATATATATATGGTCAAAGATGCTAGGTAAGTGAATGGAGAAAGAACAATCTTTTTTTGGCGGGGGGAGGCAGAAGGAGAGGGAGAGAGAGAATCTTAAGCAGGTTCCATGCCCAGGATGAGCCCCAAATGGGGCTCTATCTCATGACCTTTAGATCATGACCTGAGCTGAAATCAAGAGTCAGACACTTAACCAACTGAGCACCCAGATGCCCCCAGAAGAACAGTCTTTTAATGACGTTGGAACAATAAAATAACCATGCAAAACAAAACAAAACAAAACAAAACAAAACAAAAACACCTCAATCTTTGCCTCACACTGTACACAAAAGCTAATTTGAAAGAGACCATAGATTTAAATGTAAAAGCTAAACTTATAAATCTTTTAGAACAAAATATAAGAGAAAATTTTCATAATTTGAAGTAGGCAAAAGTTTCTTAGATATATAAAGTGCTAGTCAAAATATTTTTTCAAAATTAGACTTCATTAGAATTAATACCTTCTGATCTTCAAAAGATACCATTAATAAAGTGAAAAGGTAAGTTTTTTTTTTTTTTTCAAGATTTTATTTATTTATTTGACAGAGAGATCGCAAGCAGGCAGAGAGGCAGGCAGAGAGAGAGGAGGAAGCAGGCTCCCCTAGAGAGCAGAGAGCCCGATGCGGGGCTCGATTCCAGGACTCTGAGATCATGACCTGAGCCGAAGGCAGCGGCTTAACCCACTGAGCCACCCAGGCGCCCCGAAAAGGTGAGTTTTAAGCTGGAAGAAAATATTTGTAAAATACATATCTCAAAAAAGACATATCCAGAATATATAAAGAACCTTTAAAGCTCAATAACAATACAAATGATCTACTTTAAAAGTGAGGAAAAGATTTGAGCAGACACTTTAGATGAAGATATATGAAGATATACGAATGACATATTGCAATATGCTCAACAAAATCAGGCATCAGAAAAATACAAATGAAAATCACCACATACCGACAAGAGTGGTAAAAATTAAATATACTAATAATACCAAGTATAGACAAGGATGCAGAGCAATTAAAATCCATTCATTCTTGGTAGGAATAAAAAATGGTAAATTCCTTTCAGAAAATAGTTTGGTAATTTCTTAAAAAAATAAATACACACTTACCATATAACTCAGCAATTCTACTCCAAGTTATTTCCCAAGAGAAATAAAAATACATGTCAACAAAAGGTTTGGACCCAAATGTTCATGACAGCTTTATTTGTAATAGTTCCAAATTATCAACAATCCAGATGTCCATCAGAAGGGTAATGGACAGGGGCGCCTGGGTTGGGTTGAGCCTCTTCCTTTGGCTCTGGTGGTGATCTCAGGGTCCTGGGATCAAGCCCCGTGTCAGGCTTTCTGCTCAGCAGGGAGCCTGCTTCCCCCCCCCACCCCCACTCTCTGCCTGCCTCTCTGCCTACTTGTGATCTCTGTCAAATAAATATAGATAAAATCTTTAAAAAAAAAGGGGGGGGTAATGGTTAAATCAAACTATACTATATCCATACAATGGGAAACTGCTTGACAGTAAAAAGGAACAAAAGAATACTTATACACAGAGAGGGAGGCAAACCCTCTTTTAAGAGACTCTTAACTCTAGGAAACAAACAGGGATGCTTGAGGGGAGGTGGGTGGGGGGATGGGGTAATTGGTTCATGGGCATTAAGGAAGGCACTTAGACTGAGCACTGGGTGTTGTAAGCAACTGATGAATCACTAAATTCTACCCCCGAAACTAATAATATGCTGTATGTTAACTAAATTGAATTTAAATAAAATCTTTAAAAAAAAAAGACTGATAAGTAAATACCATGGATAGATCTCAAAAAATTATGCTGAGTGAAAGAAGACAGACACAAAAGAATACATTCTGTATTGCTGCATTTACATAAAATTCTGGAACAAGCAAGACTAAGATATAGTGACAAAAGCAGCTCAGTGTTTACATCCAGCCAAGGATGGACATGGGATATACTGACTGCAAAGAGGCTCATGAGCAAGAGAGAGCAACACTGACAGAAAGAAGCTGGACAAAAAGACTAGAACCCTTGAAACACTAGGTTGCTTGGAGTTGCCTGGCCTAGGACTTCTCTATACAATAAATAAGGAATGGAAACTATTTTGAGCTATTCACTGAATTACCAAGCCACTCCCCAAACTAAATATACTTTAGGCAGACTTTAAAAAGAAAGATTATGGTGTGGGGGAAGGTAGTGAGATTAGTGAGAACCACAATCACTTCCTTTTCCTGTTCTGAGTGATCTCAGCTCTGCAGCTACTGTTCTTCTCTCCAACTTCCCCCTCCTTTCCAAAGCCCATAGCGATTCCCATTTAACCTTAAAAATTGGCTTAGCCCCCACTCGCCAGAGAGAATCCCAGAATATTAGAGACTTAGTAATGGGAGGTCTTCAAGAGGTCTTTTTGATCCCGGTGGGAAAACTGAGAATCAGAGAGGAAAAGGGCCCTGTCCACTGTCACCTGCTAGGAAATAGCAGGGAGAGGGCTTTTACACCCTGGTAGCACGGGTAAATGGGAGGGGAGTGGGTTTTTGTGTAAATGCCTCCACCATTCATGCTATCATAGACATCCAGTTAGGCTAATAAGGTAACATCCAAGGTCACTACATTTTACAATTCCAAGGGTCAGCAGTTAGGGTAATGGATATACTGAATTGTGTAACTCAATAGTCCATGTAAATACTACTTAGGGAGAAGAAAGACTCATTTTTTTTTACAAGTTTATGCTAGGTTTTTAGAAAGAAAATCTGATTTAAACTGATCTATTTAACAAGAAAGAGAAATATTATTGAGCTGTTTCAGAGGTGCTAAATACTGCTAAATACTAGAAAGTTGATACGTTAGCCCACTGAATTCTAACCATATTCTGCAGGGTAGCCATTATTATCCCCATTTGGTAAACAAACTGAGATTTGGAGACATTTATGTCTAAATTCACATCACTTGTAGCTACTGGGTTATCCATTGAACCTAACTCTAATTTGATAGCCAAACTCAAGCTCTTTCTATAAGATCATGGCAAAAATTTAAGAGTCCTCCTTAAAATGTTCTGCTTCTACTATGCGTGAGACAGGCACTGGTTGAGGAAATGTACAAGGAGCATTTGTATCCTCCTCTTAACTGTTCTCAGGATACTAGGATACTAGCCTTTACTCAGGAAAACTCAGGAAAGGATCTTTTTTTTTTTTTTTTTTCCTTTAATCTATGAGCAAAGGAGCATCAAGAAACTTCCTGCATGGCTGTGCTCCATTTTTTTTTTTCATCTTTCCAACTGCTTCCAGAATTGTCTGGTTAAGAACAATATTCATTATCTTTATATAAGATAAATTGTTATGTCTGATCAAACAACAATGCATAGTATTGAATATTATCAAATTATATAACACAAGGCAAGTTTTCATAGTGTGTTGTTTGTGTAACATGGTATCCACTGACACTTTTTAAATCTAGGGGGAAAAGAGGTAAAAACAATGTTGTTAGAGTGTGTGTGGGTAGCTAAAACAGAGTTTTAAGCAGTATTAATCTTGCCAATTTGTGTGTGATTGTTAGTTTTTGCTTTTTTATTTTTGCTCTTGTTATGCTGTTTATTGTGTCTACCTTGCTACTCATATTTGACATTCTGACACAATCCAAAGCAGACAGCTCTGTTTAGATGATCCTGAACAATCCATGGAGGAGAAGAGGGAAACTTTCAATGTGAATATATAATATATACCACAGAAACCCTTGGATATATTCCTTTTCTCTTACAGTATGAGTGTTGGTTTGCTTTTATTTCTGATAAAATATTGGGTTATGATTTTTAAGACCCCTAAACACATTACTAAAATAGTTTTAATCAACAGGTTTTCCAAGTGTCACATTTCTTCATATTACCATTAATGGTTTCCAGCTTCTGTCAAGTAGCCAAATACAAATTTTTATTTTAAAAATCATCCAGGCCAGGTACAGGACCTAATATTGCCTTCTTCTTACAATATATATTCAGTTATTTATCTTGATGTTTTACTGAATCTTTCTTGGCACATCTGAAGTCACCTACATTCTAGACACACATTTATATTTATGAGGCTATACAGTAATACAACCTCAGTATATGAGCTACTTCCTCTCTGAATCCCTTATAATAGACCCACTAGGGAAAACAGCATAGTTGTCAGATAAGAGAGAAAAGAGGTTGGGCGGGGGGGGATAAAAGGAGAGACATGAAACAGAAATACACAATCATAGATAGGGACACACAGGGACGGATTTGAGAAAAAAAAAACAAATGCAAAGACACATAGACATTAACTTCCTCCTCTCCTCTTTATTCCCTCACTTTCCCCTGAGTTTCCAAGTTTTCCTCGGGCTTTTCCCACACCCTTTTCCTGTTCCCCAGTCCTTTTGGCACATACTTGATATGCTCTGTGCGCCCAGAGCCCTCAATGGTCTTGGCTCCCCACCGTTGCTCCTTCTCAGAGATGTCATTCTGCAAAAGACAGCATTCAGCAATAAGTGATGGCAAGAGATGGGCCACATTGAGAGAGGCTGTGCAGCTGACACACATGCCCTCCAGGTCTCCTACATCTGCTGCCTCCTCTTTACTTTTTGAAAAAGTAAACTCAGGGTCTTTACTTAGGGTCTTTATTCAGACTTCTCCCTATATATATCCGACCCTGCCCCCCGCCATGTTAGAATTAAACTGGTGGACTCTGAAATCTTCCTTTCTGCTCCCTTCAGGTCTGCTATGACTACTGAATCCCCACAAATTACACAGGTCTACCTCATATCTTGGCTCACAGGCCAAAGGAGACCCAGGTTAACCTGCACCTCACCTTCACCATAGCTTGTCATAGCCCCTCAATCACAATGTCAAACTCCTCTGCCCCGTCCCCTCCCATCCTCAAATCAACTATCATGCATCTCCCACTCATGACAGCCAATTGTCCTACCAGTCAGTTCCACAATTAGCAGTATTTCAGTCCCAGATTCAAAACCCACTGGAAGATAACAGAATGGCCCAGATGCCTTTCCCTCATTGCCCCATCTCCACCTTTTATTGATTTTCCAAGCAAGCAAAGCTATTCCCAAACTTACCACAAAGTCAGGGTCTGTATCCCAGTCATCACCCTGGGTATCCACGGAAACAGATACATCATGCCCTACTACAGACTTCCACATCTGAGGGTGACAGAGATGGGAATAATTAGGGGGAAAAATCAAGATGAGAGAAAACAAGAAAGCTGAAGTCAATGATAAAACAGTCCAATGGTTTTGTTATTTTTTTCTTAGAATAAAATAGAACCTGAGGCAAAGCTGATGGAAGTTTTAGGAAAATACTTTTGTTCAGTTACAGGAGTGGGGAGGATGATTTATTCAAGATAAACTAACATGGTCTAGACCTACAGAGTCTGGAGAGAAGTCATCATGGGTATTGGTAATGATAACTAATGTTAAATGTAGGTAATAGAGGTAATGTTAAATAAGTGCTGGGATCATTCATTCATGTTACAAGGCTAGCTGGGCAGTGGCTTGAAGTGGCAATCAATGAGAGGTACTAGGGTATCCCTAGAATTATAGCACCATCCCACTCAGTTTTCTTTTTCCTTTTTTTTTTTTTAAGATTTTATTTACCCATTTGACAGATCAGAAGTAGGCAAAGAGGCAGGCAGAGAGAGAGGGGGAAGCAGGCTCCCCACTGACCAGAGAGCCCGACGTGGGGCTCGATCCCAGGACCCTGAGATCATGACCTGAGCCAAAGGCAGAGGCCTAACCTATTGAGCCACCCAGGCGCCCCCCCGCCACTCAGGTTTCTATACATAACTCCTGTTACAGGTGTGTATTGGTCCAGCTCTGAATAAAGTGAACACCTACACTCCTCTCTACCGCCTGCATAATTCTATTGAGAAAAATTCCAACTCCAGTACAAGTTGCTATCCCATCTCAACTCTAAGAGCAACTACTGAACAGGTGCATGAGGTCAGTAGGGCAGTCAGCTGAAACTCCTACCCTGAATAACTTATAGAGAAGCATTATTTCCTGGGAATGAATCACCTATTCTTTAATTTTTAAAAACAGTTCAATTATATTTCTAAGGAAGATAGCTGGTTCAAAAAATAACAAGTAATGAATCCTTTATTTTGAACATTAGAAGTTATTAGATTTTTATTAACTAAGTAAATAATAAAGAAATATTTAGAGAACACTAGTATGAAATGGGAGCCAAATTGTCATTCTACTGTGACATCCCCAGTGTTTCCATTGGTCCTGCCAATTATGCATGAGTGGCGGCAAGTTGCTCTGCATCTGTGGGATCCTGGATCTCTGTGTGAAGATGAAACAATGGACAATGCTTATCTGCTTGGGGGACACTGAGACTTCTTGACCCTGACGCCACTTGCTAGCTGGCAACTCCCCTAGCCATCCTTCCCTGGACTCCTCATTCCACTGGTATCTTTTCCTATGCTCTTCACTGTCTCCTAAATGAGTTCCTCTTAACTGCTCCTAGGCCTCCATAGTGCCTCCAATACAGGCCCTCAGAGCCTCCGATTTTCCTTTCCACTTGAAAACTACATATTTCTACACACTCTGAAAATCCCTTTGGAAACTAGGCCAAGGAAATTGGGGTTGGGGGGGAAGATTGGTTAAAGAGATGCAAAAAGGATAGTGGAGATAATGGAGAAATAGTGACTGAATCAGCTGCGCTGTGGGATGAGTCCCTGCCCAAAACAGCTCTGCCTTCCCCTGTGGGGCAACAATTATGGATGCAAGAACAGGTAGAGAAGGCCTATGGTTCTCCTGGCTCCTGGGCTGCTTTTTGAGAAAATGACTTCACACAGAAAACTGGAGAGGAGAAGTTTCTGAAATATTCATAACCAAAAAGGAAGCAATGAGGACTGATGGTCCTCTCCTCTTTCCAGCTCTTCCTCTGAAGCCTCAGCCTAACTTACCCAAAAGACCTTTCAACCTCATGTATTTTTGAAACAAAGGAAGTTTCTGATACAAAGACTATTTGGTGTCCTTGAGCTTCCCTCCAGAAATAGGAAAGCAAGAGGCACTCTTAGAGGTAGAGATCTGGGGAATAACTTGGTGAGGAATGGCGCGCCCAGGATTGCCGACAATCAAGGGCCTCATCACAAGGCTGCCTGACAGCATCAGTAAAGTACATGGACCTTGAGTCAGGTCACTCCAGCTCTATTACTAAGCCCCTGTGGAAACAGGGGAAAGGGAATGACCTAGGGTATGTACTTACTTGTCAGGTACCAGGGTAAAGCAATTAAAAATATTAATTTGGTAAATCATTGAACATATTTGATGTTCAGTTTTCCCCAAAGGAAAATAAATGAAGAGGTTAACCTAGCTAATCCACCCAGTCCTCTTCATTTCTGACATTCTGGGATTATGTGATCCTACAATCACAGAAACTAGCCCTAATCGAGCCATCATGCCTGCACTGGGCCTCCATCTGCACTGGTGCTCAGCACCGGCATACCCCAGCAACTACTTCCTGCTCTGTCACAATGTCTCCTATGTGAGTTTTGTCTCTCTGCAAGACCATATGCTCTCCAAGGACAGAGACTTTGTCTTTACCTCCTGTGGTCTTCCTCCCACCCCAGTGCCTAGCAGCAATAGGCCTTAGGAGGAAGCTGTAGACTGTCAGCAGAAACTAGGGAGTCCTGAATGGCTGCTGAATCCTGTACCCTGGGCTCCAGACCCCCCATTTCTGTTTCCATCCCCGGATGTTAATTACCCACAACCACTCACCCCCAGGCCTCTGGCCATAAGAGCTTAAGAGCCTATTGGCAGTGACTTCATCTCTCACTGAAGACTAAGAGCCAGGTAGGTCCCTCTTAATTCAGCTCTTACCCTGTGCTCCCCGACTTTCTCACTGCTCAGAATACCCACCTCCAGTAGTGCGAGTGTCTGCTCTAAGATCTCAGCCTTTCACGTCGTCACTGGGCTCCCTCTCTGTGCTGCCACTTCAGAGCAAGAGACACTGAGCTGCTGCTTCAGTTCCGTATTCAGGTTTTCTGTCATTTCCTGATACCCTGTCCTCACAGCTACTTCCTGAAGTTTGAGTCAGTTCCTTCTGCTTAGGCACTTTAAAAAAAAAAAAAAAAAAAAAGGATTAAATGCTTGTGGCCTAGTCTTTTGCAAGGCTCTGAGAGTCACAGGGAAGTTATAAAAAATGCTGCTCTTAGAGTTTATATCTGGTCAAGGAAACAAAACATTCAAACAGAAAACACAGGAAAGAAGGTGCAGAGGAGCTTTCATATCCTGAATAGGTGGGCAATTATATATTGCACGGTAAAGAAATTTGTGGTAAAAGTTTATGTGGATTTTGAAGGGTAAGATTTAAAAAGAAACTCACTTCTGTATTACCCATAGCACTTAAAACTGGGATTTGCACAGATAGTCAAATAAACATTGATCAGTTAAATGATGGAAGAGAATAAGTCACAGGGAAAGGCAAGACAGAAAATTTTAGATTGTTTAGGGGGTAGTGAAGAATCTGGGTTAACTAGTAGAAAAGATTTGGTTCTAGTCAGCAGAAGCAAGTCTGAAAAAACAGTATCAGATGTTGGAAGGTCTTTGTGGCATTTTGTATTATTGTTCAAGATTTGCTGCTCCTGCCTTCCCTCTTGAAGTCAGACTTGCTCAGGTGACTTATTCTGGCCAATTAAGTGTGAGAAGTGAAATACATCACTTTCCAGTGGAGACTTTAAAACCAGTGCAAGCTTTGCCATGCTCTTGTGCCACTGTTCACCAAGGCAAACTGCAATTCTCGAATGGCTCCTCTGGCAGCCTGGGTCACCAATTGAGCGTCCCCAGCTGAGAATGACAACACAAATAGACTGAACAGTAATCTTTGCTGGGTTAGCTACTAAAAATTGGAAGTGTTTGTTACTGTATCGGACCTAATCTCTCTCCTAATTCTCTCTCTCTCCTAATTCACCTAATCTCTCCTAACCCTGATATGGAATTCTGATCTGATTTGTTCAGTTTTAACTTCCCAATAGACTCAAGCAGAGACTAGATAAAAGTGGTCTAAGATACAGTGGATATGATCTCTGTATTAGAAATAGTAAGACTTTAGTCACTTCTTAAGGATTCTCTGCCAGTTTGGTGGGGGTGGTGGTAGTGTATTTCATCTCTCCTACTTCATGACCTACTTATTATGGCAGCCCCCAAATTTTTTATTTTAAGGAAAATTTTATTTTAAGGAACAGTCAATTTGTACAGGGGGATAAGACCTTTTTAGAAAACTTAGAATCCTGATTTAGTGTCAAAAATGGGAATAATCGGGGACACCTGGGTGGCTCAGTTGGTTAAGCCCAAGTATCTATCTATCAAGAGGCAGGTGGAGGAATGGAAGGGCTGCAGGCTTTCTGGTGTCAGACAGTTCCGGGTTGGAACCCTTATTCAACTTGTTCCACTAGGCAGTGCCTGTGTGATCACAGCCCCTCATCTTCCCTGAGCCCCGTGCCCTTATCTGCACGATGCAGATAAAAACCTACTTTGTGGGGCACCTGGGTGGCTCAGTGGGTTAAGTCACTGCCTTCGGCTCAGGTCATGATCCCGGGGTCCTGGGATCGAGTCCCGCATCAGGCTCCTTGCTTGGCGGGGAGCCTGCTTCTCTCACTGCCTCTGCCTGCCTCTCTGCCTGCTTGTGTGTGCTCTCTCTCTCTGGCAAATAAAATAAAATCTTTTTAAAGAAATGGGAATAATCAGACCAGATATTGTGACCCACCACCTTCCAGATACAATTCTCTAGAGAAACCATAGAATTTAACCAGAGATGACATGGAGAAACCCTATCTCTCCTTAGCAAATGTCCCAAGTTCATTTCTAATGAGATAGCGAGGTGTGTAACAGAAATAGCATGGGCTTTGAAGCCAGAAAACCTTAGTGCAATTCACTTATTGAACTTCAATAAAGTAAGTTAGCTCTTCCTAAGCAGCAACTTAATATAAAAATAATAGTAATGCTGATTCTGCTGTACACCTTATTAGACTTCCCTCCCTCCACTCCCACTCAGAGGGATCCTTAGGGGCCTAATATTTTCAGTATACACAGATAAACATTCTCTCAGGCCCAGGCATGAACAGTATGAATCTCAGGCCCTAAGGCCCACTTTGTTTGGCTCAATATTAGAATGAATTTCCTCATTCCACTTCATCACCCTGGGGTCTAGGGGCTAAGACTAGAATGACAACATGCAGCCATTAACTGGTGCTGGCCAGGGAGAAGGCAGCCTGAATAGGTAGAGTTTACTAACCCTGAATACATTCCTGCTGCCCCACCCCCCATTCCCCTATCTACTACTTTCCTTTCCCAACAGGCAAGCACTTGTACACGAGCACCCCTGTATACATCCATTCATACGCATGTACACATCACCACAATTTTTGATTCTGAAAATAATTTTATTATTTTACAGTTGTTCAGGAAAGTTCCTGGGTTGCTATGACCAAGAATTTGGTCACCACAGAACAAAGGATCACAGCAGATCAATCAGTCCACCAGTTTTCACTCTTCTTTGGATGGTAAGAGCAGGCAGGGAACACATCATGTGCATAATAAGAAAATAACCAGCAGGAAAGGGTGGGGGAAGGGGAGGCAAGAACAGGCATAAAAGGAATTCAGTCCTGGCTGCCATTCTCAGGCTTAGATTTAGAAATTTTTTCTTCTCTATATTCACCCTCCACTTTCTTCAGCTCTCTGTTACCACAGAGGGCAGGTGACTACAGGCTGAGAAACAGGAATAACTGTCCCCAGTAGCAGAGTACCTAGATACCACCAGAAGCCAGGCATGGTCACCAGTGAGATCACCCCCGTGGCAGTCAGTGTCTCACCTAGGTCTAGCTCCAAGTATACCACTTTAGGGCTCACATTTGAGGCACGCCCAGATGACACAGGAATGACAAGAAGCTGATTCCCACTGTCCACAGCCAGTTCTTCCTTTCAATGAAGGGAAAGGCAGGGCCATTTACTACCTCAGTACTCATGGGATCAAGGGCATACACGATAGGATCTTATTCTAATAGTCCAGGACCACAGCTCTAACTCCAGTTATGTCTGAACAGCCAGGGAAGAAGACACTGTCCTACCCCGTGATCCGGCAGCCAAAACCTCTGGGGAGTTCTTCAGCTCACACCCTATTTTGCAAGAGACCTAACCAGCCATTCTATGAGCTACTGTTCCCCAGAATTTCGTTTATGGCAGGTCCACCTTCCCTCTGAAGCAGGAGGAAATGCAAGGTAAATGAAGCAAAGAAAGTACCAATGGAAATGATACTGGACCATAGATTATTAGGTTTATTAGAACCACCTTCTAAGCTGAGAGACATTCCTCAGCATTTTTTACAGGACCACAAAAAATCAGGGCCCTGCAAAATCTGAACAAATCCCAGGCTCAGAGACCAACTGTGTGGCCTCCTCAGATTACGCAGAAGTGTTGAGGCCTGGGCAGTAGAAGCAAGCAGACTCGCCGGTCCCTGCAGCTCTGCCCTGCGCTCACATCCACCTCTGTCTGTGCAGGCACTTTCTGTGGAGGGCTGGAGAGAGGACCTGTGAGTGGGAAGACCGTTCCACTACAACTGACAGTTTTGATGTTAGAGGAATTCCAAGTTCAGAGGGGAGAGGTCAAAAAGGTGAGAATTCAGTTTATAGATGGCCTGTGAAACACAGAATGAGCAGGACGTGAACCATCAGGAAGTAGATGGCGGCTAGCAGGGGCACTCGGGTCCGGGAATGACAGAGTGAACGCAGGACCCGCTTCCATCCAGCACCACTCCGGGTCTGAAAGAAAAATCTGAAAGTCAGAGAGTCTTATCCTACGGAGATATGTCCCTTTCCCTCCTCCAAACACTGGAGGAAAGAGGTATCCCGAGAGAAAGTCCCCGCAAGGTCACTCGGCCAGTTCCACTAGGTTCTGCCAACCTTCTATACCCTTCCTCTCTGAGATCCATCAGTGCCTGGACTTTCACCTCCCTTTTCCTTGGCCCCTTGCCCTCACGCAGCCAGCGCTTTGTGACAGTATATTCTCCTCTCTTTATGTTTCTCCCCTTCTTACCCTTCGACAAGTGCTGCCCGTAAGATCTATTAGCAGTGCCTGCTCCTGAGTGCCGCAGGAGCCAATGATGGGAGACCGAGCAGAGTCCCAGTCACTGTGCTCCAACCTGTGTTGAGAAAGAAAAGAGTCATGGCTTGGTTCACAGCACGGGCAGCTGCTCAGGTGAAGCTTTCCCCGTCATCTTGCCATGTGATGTAGCCCAAGAGACTTGCAGCAAAGGCTGCTCCCACAGCTCCTGCCCCCACACAAGCAGGGTGCAGGCTGAGTGGTTTCTTTCAGCAGCAGTAAAAGGTGAGGATAACTACTAGGAATGGATGCCTATTACATAAGAGATGCTGGATTGGGTGCTGTGCATACATTTAACCCTCAGGTTTGACGTTGGTGTTACTATCTTCAAAGTAAGGCTTAACGAGGTGAAATGTCTTGCCTGTGGTGGCACAGAAAGTAAGGGTAGAGCCAGAATTTAAAACCCAGGTTTGTCTCTAACCCTCGTGTTCTTTTTTTTCCAATATACCAGAGAAACACGCATTAAATTCTTTTTCATTTACTAAAGGCTGGTAGGCAAAGGCATCCAAGAAAGATTTTTGTGGGGTTCTTGGAATTAAACTAAATGGCAGCCTCTACTGTTTTCTTCTTCATTTTTGGCTGATTTGTTTAATACTGGAACTTCTCCACTTAATGAAGCAGCTGCCCTATCCACTCAATGGTTTCTCACAAAAACACAAACTGTATCAAAGGGGCTGCAGGTAACACAGCATATCTGATCAAACATTTGCCTGTAGGGATGTACTTTTTAATTGTGCTAGGGAGGGTGGAACTCTTCACGCCTCCATATAAAGGAAGGGATGTCCATTAGCCTAACATTCTTGGACTCTCTTTGCAGGTCACAGAGTTTTCTCCTGGAGAGAAAGAATACCTTAATCTGATTTGTGAGTCTGGAAGGAGAAACTGAGGGAGCACAGCCTCGTTCCCTCCTGCCAGTTTCCCTTTGAG